AAATCACGTGTCCTTAGAACCATATTATAAGTTTAATTGTTATCTAATTTTAAGGGTAAACAACACCAAATTCTAAATTCATTATTTTTGAGGATGCATGTGAAATTTAAAGATGAATTGGATCATCGCATTTTGTATTTTTATATGATTACCAAAGTACACTAAGAATAAAAGAAACATAAACTCAATTAGATTCTTTAGTTTGGGTTTGCTCACAGACCGGAAAATAAGTTAAAATTTTGAATATAAACTTTCCACGTAAAAACATGAAATGTCACCTATAAGTTTTCTATTAATTATAGAATGAGGTAAATAAAAACTTATATATAAAAATGACTTATGTGATCAAGTCAAGTCAATTCTTTTGTAATAAAATATACGTGGTGAAAGTGGGAACCCCAATTAAGAATATTTACTTGACTTGACTTGATTTTAGATCCGTACTTTGATGAAAGATGCTCGTACGAATTAATGTGGAACTCGATTTATTTTTTAAAATTGAATATTAGTTTGGATTGTGTTATTATTTTGAGGACATCAACGACGCAGTGTATTATAATGGATCTGTAGCATTGTCCCATTTGAATATGCAACCTAAAGTTAAAGCACGGGCGGAGCTAGAAACCCGAGTACGGATTCGATCAAACTCAATAGTTTTTGTTCAAACAGTGTATTTGTATTAAAAAATTCATTAAATATATACACAAATTTTAAATTTAAAACTTGTTTATTAGCACTTGAAGTCATTCTTTTAAAATCCAGAACCCATAAAGTTAAAATCTTAGCTCCGCTCCCTGATCTGGCTCAGTTCAATTCAATTTTTCTTCCACAAATTCAAAAATTAAAAATAATCCATATAATTAAAACACATTTCTATCAATAAGTAAATTAGTAATGGTGCTATATTTCAGCAACCCTAACTAAAAAAATGGACTTCACTATATTTTAGATACGTTATTAATGAAAAATACTTGACACTAAGTTTCATATCAAATTACTTTCTATTTCAGTACAACAGTAATGAATTCATTATAAGTCCAGCTAGATTATGAGTTGATTCTTAAATTTGACATTTGCTAGTTGGTTTTTCTACACATCTACGTGAAGTTATAGAATGCTTAAATATACAAACAAAAGATGCTCATTAATTCCTTTCAAGCAACAATTTTGCACAACAATATTATGATTGAAACCATCCAACTATATATTTTTCTTCACAACTCTTTTTCATAGAGGAGAAGAAAACAAATGGCTTTCCACAAAGAGTACCTTGATTTGTTCTTAGTCCCAACTGGCCTAATTATTATGTTTGGTTATCATCTCTACTTGCTCTACAAATACTTCTATGTTCCTCATACTACTGTTATGGGCTTTGAAAACAATGACAAAAGAGCTTGGGTTGAAAAAATTATGCTGGTAAGTGGTAACTACCAATTTATCTCTCAATATTATGTTGCAAAAATGCTTTGAAATAACATTTTCAATTACCATTGAGGAGTGTGATGAAATGGATCGGATCCATCTCCCCTTATTTAGAGGTCTCGTCTTATTTAAAATATTACCGATGATCATCAATTTATTGTCTTATTTTGGTTCTTTACGATTACGCTATTAGTGTCATGTTCTTCATAATTTTTAGAGTTTTAGCCTCCATAGTCAATGGCGGGGCTAAAGGTAAGGAAGGCGGTTCAATTAAATCTCGTCTTGGATATCACGTTGTGCGAGTAGGTTAATATTTTGAAGGAAAAATATTATATTTATGAACTATTGAAAAAGTAAATGCACGAAGAAATCAAGAAAATTCAACAGCTAATATATATATGAATATATGAACATTTAACCTTACATACCCTGTTTAATTTTCTGGCGAATGAACCCCCTTTCGCCACCCTGGCTCCACCCATGAACGAGTGAAGCCTCTAGGTATAACATTTTTGGCATTTTTTGGATCCCTTGTTTGGACGTTCCTGCCTCTGCCACTGTCTCTCAATTATTTTTCTCAAAAGTATTTTGAAACAACGTCTCTTTTATATTTATTTTATGGAATATTGCAGGCTGATAAAAAGAATATTGATACAGCTCTAACTGTTTTAGGATCCAGCCTCAATGGAGCAACATTCTTGGCATCAATTTCACTGAGTTTAAGTTTCCTCATTGGAGCATGGATGGCAAATAATAGTGTATTTAGCAGTGAATTAATATATGGTGACACAAGATTAGAAACCATGTCCATTAAGTTCATAAGCCTTCTACTCTGCTTCTTGCTCGCCTTTGCATGCTTTGTTCAATCGTCGAGATGCTTTATTCATGCAAATTACCTAATTAGCACGCCCGATACTGATATTCCAATAAGCTACGTTGAATTAGCGGTGATTAGAGGAGGTGATTTTTGGTCATTAGGACTTAGAGCACTTTATTTTGCTACACCTTTGTTGCTATGGTTTTTTGGTCCAATTCCTATGTTTGTTACTTCAATAGGGATGGTTTTCCTCTTACATTACCTTGACAAAAACACGAAGCAATTGCATTGTTATCGATCTTCTGCAAAAGGAAAACAACCATACAAGAGACTCGAGGAAACAACAAGTAGCTAGGGAAGCTATATCGAGCATTTTGTTATGTGAAATTTGGTTGTGTGAGAGATGTGGCCCTGAAGCTTGTCAAGATCTTGATCATATAATAGAATGAGCCATGCATTTAAGATTGTACAAATATGATTTTTATTCTATGGTTTTATGAAGTAATGTAAATAATTGGTTGTACCTAAGGCATATTTTCTAACATGTACTTGCCATGTACTTGGTATAGGAAAAGCTCGTTCATTGAAACAAAAAAAAAAGGTTCTATTTGTTATTTTTCATTATATATTGATCGTAGCAAGAAATGAAGCAGTGGCAGATCCAGAATTTATTCATACATTACAAGGTTCTACTTAATATTTGATTCCGATACTCCTACAAAAAAATCATCATCAAGTACCAACCACTAACCCTGGCATATTCTATCTAACTAGAGATAGATATTATTTAAAGGGAAAACTACCCTCTATAGCCTTCAAAATTTTAATAGCCCATATTTTTTTTCACTTACATGAAATGGCCTTTCGGTCCAAACATATTATATCTAATAGTCCGAAATATCTTTTTGTATTTTTTTGTATAGTGGCAGTCTATTTTGTATATTTTTTGTATAGTGACAGTCTATTTTGTATAATGACAGTCTATTTAG